AAAGGACCTCTCATTGTTTTTGAAGTTACAGACTAACATGACTACCCCTCTGAGATTTTTTTGCCGCTGTTCTTGATAATCTCACTGTCTAGGCTGCAGAATGGGACATTATTACAGAGTGATCACCATGAAGATGTAAGTCATGCCCACTTGGTGTGGCACATGTTCCCCCTCTAGTGGCACTTAGACCAGCTAGAGATTGAGGAATCTGCTACAGCCTTGGCTAAGAGACTGGTGTCTTTTAGCTCATGCCATAGACTAGAGGCTCATGCAAACATCCCAGATTTGATCCCAGCTGCTGAGACCAGATTCAGGTTACACAGTCACAGTTCTGAGTCAGCCATAGAAATGTGGACACCTATGATCATATTGTTCAGGGCATGCAGGAGAAGGGCTTCATCAGGGACCAGCAGCAGTACTGCATGGAAGCCAAGCAGCTGCAACAGATATGCCATGGATCCCAGCAATCGGTCCAGTGCTGAGCCACAGATCTGCTGTCTTTACAAAGAGCTGTATACCATGCCCCAGCAGATACCTCCACCCCTCACAACAGCAACCATGGATGCTTCCAAAGAGCCCAAGTCACAGGCCCCTGCCACAAACAGCACAGAGATAAAGGTGGAGAAGGAAAAGGAGTATGAGAGACAGGCAAGCAAGAGATCCAGCACCACAATGAGCCAGGACCTGACTTTGGCCTCGCTCCCAGGATATCACCATTCTCTACCCGAGGACTGTTGCTCTCAGCTTGCAGATGAGGGCAAGGCCTCAGGGACAGTGTCTCCAGGGATGACTGACCACTTCTCTTTAATCTCCCCAACCAGACCACCCATAACTGGGGGGTAATCACCTGCAGCCAAGCTATCCACCTGACCCCAGAGGAGCCGCAGGTGTCAGAAGGTCCATGAGGACCTCATGAGGGAGCACGTGTCTGTCCTCAGGGACATGCAGCAGATGCTGGCCCAGAAGGTCCAGGATGATGCACAATGGTGGGCCCAGAAGTGGATGAAGCTGCTGTAGCAGGGCCGCAACATCTGTGCCACTGTCCAGGAGATAATGGCATACCCAGTGACAGTCCTAGTCCCTGCTCCAGGCCCTGCTCCAGCCCCTGCCATGCCTGACCCCGCTCCTCCTGCCATGCCAGTCCTTGCCCCACTGCCATGCCTGAACCTGCTCCAGCTCCCCCTCCTGCCTATCCCCCTGTTTTCCCAGGACCCCCTCACCACCGAGGTCGACGAGATGGAACAACCACCCAAACATAGCAGTCTGAGCTCCAGCTCTGAGCCTCTCCTTCCCCCTCCCAGGTTTTCACCCTCTCTCCCCATATCCAGGTTCTCAGCCCATCTACTCTTCCCCACTTATATTTATCCTAAATAAAAAAACAAAGTTATTTTTTTCAAAACTAAACAGCTGATTTTATTTTGTCTGCAGGGAAGGATGGTAGTAGGGGAAGGGAGGGGTTGTTGTGGGAAAGGCAGAGGGGGCAAGGCACTGGCCCTTAGTGGGGAGGCCCTGGGGAGAGTTACTGGGGTCCTTCTGGGTATGTCTACACTACCCCCCTAGTTCGAACTAGGGGGGTAGTGTAGACATACCCAGAAGGACCCCAGTAACTCTCCCCAGGGCCTCCCCACTAAGGGCCAGTGCCTTGCCCCCTCTGCCTTTCCCACAACAACCCCTCCCTTCCCCTACAACCATCCTTCCCTGCAGACAAAATAAAATCAGCTGTTTAGTTTTGAAAAAAATAACTTTGTTTTTTTATTTAGTATAAATATAAGTGGGGAAGAGTAGATGGGCTGAGAACCTGGATATGGGGAGAGAGTTTTCCCAGGACCCCTTGGCCCCCCTGTTTTCCCAGGACCCCCTCACCACCGAGGTCGACGAGATGGAACAACCACCCAAACATAGCAGTCTGAGCTCCAGCTCTGAGCCTCTCCTTCCCCCTCCCAGGTTTTCACCCTCTCTCCCCATATCCAGGTTCTCAGCCCATCTACTCTTCCCCACTTATATTTATCCTAAATAAAAAAACAAAGTTATTTTTTTCAAAACTAAACAGCTGATTTTATTTTGTCTGCAGGGAAGGATGGTAGTAGGGGAAGGGAGGGGTTGTTGTGGGAAAGGCAGAGGGGGCAAGGCACTGGCCCTTAGTGGGGAGGCCCTGGGGAGAGTTACTGGGGTCCTTCTGGGTATGTCTACACTACCCCCCTAGTTCGAACTAGGGGGGTAGTGTAGACATACCCTCAGAGCTAATGAAGCCTGGGATTTGAATTTCCCGGGCTTCATTAGC